GGACAGTAGTAAATGGATCTGAAAAGGAGATTGTTGGAGAACTATACTTTTTTAGAAACCCTGAATCTAACATATATTATTAAAATATAACCTGTACAAAAAATCACACACACAGACACACACAAAAAAGAATAAAAACTATATATAACCTGTACAAAAGTAAATTAGTTAAAAAAGTTTGGAGGAATCCTGATATATCATTTACTTTTAAAATGTTGTACTTTAATTTTGTTTATCCACTCTCAGACCCTGGTTGTGATACAGCACCAAATATGACACAATTCTTGCCTTCAGTGGACTTTTGCACTAGAAGAGATACCTACAGTAAAAGAAGTCCCAGCAATTTCATACATTAGTTACTCTGTGGGCTCATGGATGCAGCATCTGAAATAAAGAGAAGGGAGAGGAAAGAGGAAATTCAGGGCCAATCATGTGGGGCCTTCTGCTTTATGAAAGTGGTTGAACTTTATTCTGGGTGCAGTGGGGAGACTTGGGAGAATTTGAAGCAGAGAAGTGACATGAATAGATTTTGTGCTTTTAAGAGATCACTGTGATTGGTGTTGAAATATGTATTGCCCTTGTGCATGGCCCACAGTGGAAGTAGTCAGTGTTGTTAATTAGGCAAGGAGTGGTGAAGGCTTATATTCAGTAGTGGCAGTGGGGCTAGGGAAATGTGGATTAATTTAAGACATATTTAGAAGGTAACTGTTAGGATTTGGTAATTGGTTTGTCTTGTAAAATGAGAGAGGAAGAGTGAAAGATTAAATTTGACTCGGGCATATATATGTAGCACAGAAGAAAGAAAAAGTTTTGTTAAGTCATAGATATTTAGCTGCCTGCCTTCAAGAAGAAAACTAAGAGAAGTTAATTAAAATCCCCCAAAACACATGTACTTAGGCTAGCATTTATTGGTTACTTCGTATATTTAATATATATTAGAGAGCATTTAGAATTAAAAGAATAAGATAAACATAGTTATTTAGTTAACATATCTCTCCAGATGAAAAAGACAGGCATATACAAAATAATTTTTAGTACAAATTAGATAGTGATATAATAAGATACAAACAAAATTAAATGAATTCTGACTGGGGGAGAGAAGATTGCAAATGACTTCACAGAGTAAGTGATTTTTGAGCTGTATCTTAAGGGATGCGAAAGAGTCTAACAGACCTCCCACATTTATGTCTCTATCCTGTATGTTTCTCCTGGTATCTGACTCCCTCCATGACATCTCCATTTGAATATATAAACTGTGTCTGAAATGTAACATGTTCAAAACTAAATTCCTCATCTTCATTTCTTCAAACCTGTTCTTACAGTCTTCCCCGTGTAGTAAATGGTTTCCTATTTCAGTATAAGCTGAAATCTTTGCAATGTAAGGCCCTACACCACCTAACTCCCTTCCACAATCCTATTACCTCTTGAGCTCTTCTGTTTGTCATTCCATTCACTCTGTTCTAGCTAAACAGGGCCTACTCAGTGTCCTTCAAATACTTCAAATACCTCAACACCTTTGCTTTTCCTATACCATTCACCTGAGGCGTTTGTTTTAGTTACCTTTAAGAACTCATTCTTCATCCCTTTCAGGTTTTTGCTCAGATGTCACCTTCTCAGTAAGGTCTTCTTTCTCCTTCCTATTTAAAATTGTACCCCTTACCTCATGCACTTTTACTTACTCCCTGACTTCATTTTTCTTTATGTCACTCACCATCTGACATATGTATCTTATGCTTATTGATTTATTATGTCATATCCCACTTGAAATTAGCTTCATGAGAGCCTGAATTTTTGACTGTTTTGCTCATTCGTTTATCCCTAGAACCTAGAATGGTGTTTGGAACATAGTGGGTAGTAAATTAAATATGTATTACGTTAATAACATGATGAAATGAGGAAGAGTGTTCTGAGCAAGGGAAGTGAAATGAACAAAGCTCAGAAAAGATGTTTGGCACATTGGGAAATGCTTATTGATCTGCTAATTGGTCTTATATTTTGGGTATGTAGGAAACAGAAACAGTTTCTGAAAGGCAGTTGAGTCTAATATGAAGGCCTTTGGTAACACATTGGGAAATGCTTATTGATCTGCTAATTGGTCTTATATTTTGGGTATGTAGGAAACAGAAACAGTTTCTGAAAGGCAGTTGAGTCTAATATGAAGGCCTTTGGTAACAGTCTAAAAATGCTTGATTTAATTCTATAAGCCACTTCAGCAAGTAACAGGCAGATAATAGAGATGATTGGCTTTGCAATCTGCCTGATCTGTGTCACGGGTATTAAAGATACGCAAACAAATGAGCATTTGGTTGACTGAGGGACAGGAGGCCTAAAGCTTCTCTAAGAGCAACTGAAAGAGCCTGAGAAAAGTAGAGAGGTAATTTGTGGAGAAACCCAGAAGGGTACTGCAAAACCTAAATGGGTATGTCCTGGATGTGGAGTGGGACTACTAACATCTCGTTTTTTAGGATGGTATTTTCTGTCCACAAGAGAACTGGTAACTGGATGTCATATGCTGATCAGAAGTTGTTAATGATTCAGTTTTCTACACTTCTACAATTAATACAGATTGAGTTATTACTGCTGTAGCTTTGCAAAAGAAAATGGACATACCATCATTGGCTGTATCTTGGATTTTTCATTTAAAAACCTATTTTATAATGTAATGTGCATCATTGGTGGTGAATGTAAAATTTGTATTAAGTTATGAAGTTAGTAGGGTCAGTAAAGTATATTCCATATTTACAGTTAAGTAAATAGAATGTAATTAAATCCTAAGAGACAATATTATTTTAAAAATAAATGACTATGCAGTAATATTATATGAACTCATATATAATGTAATATTTTAGCCTTAAAAGTTAACCCTTAGAACTCATATATAATGTAATATTTTAGCCTTAAAAGTTAACTTTTCTGAGTTAACACTTAGAAAGTGTACATAGGTATGTTAAATAATAATACACTGTGGAGGTGATCATAGAATAGTTTTGTGGCTTGTGAGATTTGTAAAACATGAGACCTTTGACTTGCCCTCTATTACCTCAGAAATCCCAGAGGTCTGCAATCTGAAGATAAATTAGGTTTCTTTTTTCCCTTAGCAGCACATCTTCTACCACGTTAATACATTCCACGGATGCTGATATCATCAGCATTAGGCCCATTTATAAGAAAGTGCTTAGCTACAGTTAATAGAACATAATTGATGGAAATGTATTTCTTAATGTATTTATTTTTTAAAAAACTTAAACTTTGATGATTTAGTAATTTTATTTTCTTAGTAAAAACAATCTTCATACTGTTTTCAGACATCTTTTAAAAATAATTTAGAATTTATAAAAATGCTGAAAGAAAGTAAAATTAAAATCTTTTCCTTTTTCATGCGTTTACACATTTTCAGCTTAAGTGCTCCTTCCTATCTTCCCTACCTCCCTCCTATTTTTTGCCAGCCTCTCTTCTTTTCATCATTGAGCCAAACATTCTCAAATGTTAGTTTATCCTTGCTTTTATACATAACTTAAACATAACTTGTGATTTGCTAATTTAACCACATCTCTTTGGCCCTTTTCCTCAAGTATCAGTAGGTTAAATGATGAACCTTTGTGCTAATTTTTTTCAGTATTGAAGTTTGTACTGTCTGCAATGAACTACATTTTGCTCATTGATAAAAATTACTTGAAACTCTGAATATTTTTCTTCTCATGCTATTTATATACTGTACAGGAAAATTAAAACCCTATTAAGATATTTGGAAAATATGCATATTTTCCAGAATTATAAAAATGCATACATATGTCAAGTATGATTTGTTTTTTGACTGGAGATCTTATATTTTTTGTTCAACTAAAAATGTAGACTGTTCATTAATGTGTTCTTGGATACTGAGATGAGTGGTTCTTCTCCCATACTAAATATATATCTACCACTCCCTCCAGAAAGGTTTTAAGGTACACATTTTATTTGCACCTTCTGTTATGGCAGTTACAGCTTGCCTTTTGTTTGCATTATTAATGTCCATTATTTCTTTCCAAATTATAATTTATTTGGAAATGGGGTCTAGAACAGCAAAAGGCCCAATGAAGATGTCCATTCAAACATGGAAGTCAAAAATGTGTTGAAAGCAAGAAGGAACCATCAGTTATTGGGGATATTTATCATAATATGAAACATGTTAAGCCCTACTGTCATTGCTAATAAAAAAATAATATATTTGTTTTGAATGTCATTAGGTATTTGGCAGGAACTATTAAGTCTCAAATATTTTTGTGGGCATATATATTTTATATTTTTAAAAGTAAGTTTTGTTAAGCATTCTTAGAATTATGTTAAATGCTTTTATGATTGGGTATATTTCAGTGAATGACCTGTTGGCTTTAAGATTTGGGTAAGTTGAGTCTGTAATTTGGGATTTTTATCACATTATCCCATATGAGCCTCACAGCAAACCCTGTGGTTTTGAAATGGCAATTGAGGTGAGTAAAGGTCACAGAAATTAAATTAATTTGAGTGCATGTGATAGTAAGTTGAGTAGACGAGACTCAAACCCAATTATTCTTTCTATATCAGATTGAAATAGATTATAATTTATCTATTGATTTGTAATCCATTATTTTTCTTTATTTTAATGCATTTGAAGTAACAGTTTTATAATATCTAAAACCACATAATATTTATTGGGTTGATCTAGAAGGATTATAGATTAGTTTTACTTTTCCAGTTTTGAAAATGATTATTTTTCTTTTACTGTAGGAAAAATAGCATTTTATCTACCAAATAATGAAAAACTAAATTTAAATGTCCACTTGAAAGCTTTCAGATATGTAGTTGATTTAAAATAACTATTATAAATACAATTCAGTGTACTTGATCTCTAGTGAATTTTTAAAAAGTTTTTATACTTGTGGGCTAACAAAATAAATACTTGAAAATTAAAAATTTATAAAAACATACACCTTATATTTTTATAATATATTGTTCATCAACTCTTTTTTTGTTAAGAAAGCTTATTTTCAATTTTTATCATTTTTTCATGTTAGTGGTGTAAAGCTAACATTTTGCTTTCACATCTTTTTACTGTCAGTGTTCCTAAGCAGTGCACCTTAAATTAGTTCATCTCTAATTTATCATGCTTCTATTTGAGTTGTCTGGATTTCATATTTAGGAAGAATAAAATGAATATTTAATTTTAACTGTAAAGGAGCATCTTTGTTATTATTTCTGTTTGGATTATCTTGTTTATTTTTGGTTGATAGATTAGTAGTTGGCATGTTTGCTCCAATATGTTGAAGTGGTAGGTTTAGTTCAGTGCATAGAATTTGTGACTATTAAAAGGAAAATCATACAGCCTGGCTGCAAAGGTCGTTCATATCAGTAGATATTATAACTTAATAAAGAAAACTAAAGCATATGTGTGGTCACAACCAATCCTTGTCATTATGCCATGAAAGCTTTGGGATTTGTGATCAAAGCAACAGGCTTATCCTGAACTGAGGTATAACCTCTGGTTGAACCTTTCAAGTTTTTATTTTCGGAGATGATGCTCTAAATGTTGGCCATGTTACCTGCCTCTAAGACCTATCTACCTAATTAAGTGATAGAGATTAAAATTATTGTGAGCAAGCCAGAAGAAAATGTATACTGTAAATGTATCTGTCTTCTGTCAGTGTTGTTTACTTATCATTTTCCACTGATGCTTTAAAGGATTGCTGAACATGTGTTTTTTATCCAGAGCTGACTGCACTGTTCTGATGAATATAAAACATACTTCACTTTGTAAATGCGCATTAAAAGTATTAGAAAGGCATAATCTTTGACTCTGTTACTACATTTCATCTGTCAAAAGAGATAATTTTGAACTGTAATATTTGGTATTGTATCAAGACATGGTACTTAGAAAAATGCTTTTAGGATTAAAATGGAATTCTACTGTAAAACTTAAATGTCATTGTCATCGATAGTAAGATTTGTCTGTATATATGCTTATTTATTTTGTTACATGTTGGTATATCTCAGTTGAGTTCAGCATGTTTATTTCATATTAAGAGAGTATTGAACTCTTATCGCTGACATGCAGATTTTCTTGTGATGAGACTACAATAGAGTTTAAATACAGCATGTCCTCAAATAATGTTATTTCATTCAATGTTATGTTATAATGCTGATAAAAAATAACATCAATTCATGGCCAGGGCCACTGTCTGTTGAGTGTTCACAGGTTCTCCCCATGTCTGTGTGGGTTTTTTCCAGGTACTCTGGTTTCCTTTCACATCCCAAAGATGTGCACATGTGGTGAATTGGTGTGTCTACATGGTTCCCATCTGAGTGAGTGTGTGCGTTTGTGTGTGTGAGTGCTCCTTGCAATGAGATGGTACCTGGTGTCCTGTCCAGGGTGGGTTCCTGCCTTGTGCCCTGAGTTGCCAGGGTAGGTATAGGGCACCTGCAATCCTGAAGTGGCATAATTAAGTAAATAATTATCTTACTTGTTTTTATTAATCTTTCTTAGATGTATGTATAGCTCACATTTATTTCAATATTTAATATTAGAAGAGTTTTGGGTATCTATTTAGAAGTTTGGTGATGTTTTTGTGGCCATTGAAATATGCCGTAGGAACCTAACTCATTTATATTAATTAGCTGGTGGTAAAACTGGTTTTGTTATATGTCATTTTATGAAATTTTGCAGTTTCCAAGAACCCATCGATGACAGTGAGGATTTCCGTGTATATGCTCATTCTCTTACTAATTTAATTGTGCTAATTTGATATTCTTCATACTGTATGTAAAATCTTCATAATCTCTCTCCTCAGTATTAGTTATTTAGAAATGCTTGTCATATTTTAAATTCACATATAAAGTCCTCAATCTCATGGATCCTTCCATTTAGAGGGTGATACAAACAAGCAGTTATAATACAGATTGATGAGTTCTGTGTTAGGGAAATATAATGGATTACGATCTTTTCCCTAAAGCTTTGGCCACCCCAACTTTTAGACATAATATTCTCATTTGAACTTCTGGAATGCTAGTTGTTTTCACAACCTATTTTCTCTTAAAAATATATCATTTCACTCTTACTGATTTAGATCGTATTCTGTAGGGGGAAGACACTCATGTTTATGTATCCCAGACCCTAACACAGTTCTCTCTAAAGAATAAGAACTAACTTACAGGGGCATTCCCTAAGGGGATGGAGCCCGTGAGGGCCATGACACTGAGAAATCTCCCCTCAGAGCTGGAGTGGCTGTGTTGGCTGTGCAGCGTGCTTGGTCGGGCCAAGGGGCCTCCCACTGGGATCTGGGATGTCAGAAAGGCCATTGGTGAAGAAATTTCACCATTTGGTCTCCCCCTTTGTGGGCCAGTGGGTGGTCAAGAATAAGAAGCTACAGCCCACCAGCCTCCAGTGTCTGTGGCTCTAGGACACCCAGGTCTGTAGAAATAAATTATTCCTTAGATTTGATCCAGATGAAGAAATGGGGCTTGCTGGTAACAGCCCATCGCCAGAGACTCCACAAAAAGAAGCGCAGAAGGAAGGGACTGTGGACCCAAAGCAGGCCCAGGAGTGCAGCAGGCAGAAGACCCTATGGATCCTCACCAGAGCTTGTCCTCCAGGAAGAGGATGATTCTGAGTGTTTGGAGGGAGACACCCTGCAGGAGATGCTGGGAGGTGGCTGTCAGCTTCTGTTTGTTGGGCAGTGTTTGGGTGAACAAGTTCTCCAGAGCCAAGAGAGCCAACAAGAGGGGGGGACTAGAGGGATCCTGCCCCGAGGTGGGTCCTGCACTTTCGTGGTGGTGGCTTCCTGGCATTTTAAAATTGTCTGATGTCTTGGAGCTCTTTCCCAGCGATCACACCCACCTGTGACATCCTGTCTGAGAAGTTCCATGGAAGGTAAACCTTGGAAGCTCTAGGCCAGGCTCAGCCTGTCTGCTTTACACTGTTGGACCAGAGATCCTTTTCAGGGCTAGGGAACATCATCAAGAATAAAGTCTTGTATGGAGCCGGGATCCATCCATCCCCTTTCTTTCGGTTTAGTCCTGAGTTCCTTGCTGGGGAGGCTCTGGTGGATCACGTGGTAGAGTTCAGTACTGCCTTGCTGCAGGGCAAGTTCTGGGCAAACCACAGCACAGACATGTCTACCAGAAAGAACAGTGGCCTCCTGGCTACCAGGTCATGAAGGAGGTGTTTGGGCCCCCAAGTGGGTTGTAGAGGCTCACCTGGTAGTGCCCACAGTGCCAGCCCCAGTTGTTGGGAAGAGCGGGAGCAGCATCAATTCTCCTAAGGAACTCGGGATGGAACCTTGCCCCTTGGGGAACCTGATGTCTAAGTGTCCAGAAAGGAGGATGTGGGCAGGGACAGGGTGCAGAAGGTGGTGTGGGTCAGGGTGCTGGTACTACAATATTCATCTCCCTGGAGTTATGTTGAAGGCAGAGTTTTCATAGTGTTAGATTTTCTTTTTCCTTTTCTAGTTCATTTAATTCTTCCTATTGAATTGCACCATTGTGAAAGATGAGAAAAATCATGATAATGGGTAAGGGGAAAGCCTCCTGGAAGGTAATGGGGCAAGGAAAAAGAAAGCCTATGGGAAATAGCTGTGCTCCTAACATAGCTTTGCAGATGATATGGGGTTTCTTTCGTTTTTGTTTTGAGACAGGGTCTTGTGGTCTCCCAAGCTAGGGTGCAGTAGCATGATCTCAGCTCACTGCAGCCTAGCCCTCCCAGACTTAAGTAGTCCTCACCTCAGCCTCCAGAGTAGCTGGGACTACAGGCATGTGCCATTATGTCTGGCTGATTTTTGTTTACTTTTTATTGAGATGGGGTCTTGCCATGTTGGCCAAGATGGTCTTGAATGCCTGCACTCAATCAGTCCTCCCATCTTGGCCTCCCAAAATGTTGGGACTACAGATGTGAGCTACCACGCCTGGCCAGCTCCTGTATTTTTTTTTTTTTGTGGTTTCGCAACTTTAGTTGATTTTAAGGCCCTCCATTTTAGAAAGCAGGAAAAGAGGATTTTTTTTTTCTTGTTCCCCTGGAGGATCCAGGGATGAGGATAGAGTGCTTGGATTCAGCCTCCTCCTGGACGCAGACACCAAGAGGCTGGGTGGAGCAGGGAGCTGTGCCTTTCTGGGGTGCCCAGTGATCTGTAGAGAAAAGCTGCTTGTTTACTCCTTAAGTCTGTATTTGTGACTGTTGATATGTTGAACAATTCAGGAATCAAGGGCAGTGGAGAAACTCCCTCAGGTTGTTGGCAAACAGGTAAATGAAGCTAGGACAGTGCCATGAGAATAAAGCTCTCTGTTAAAAAAAAAGAAGAGTAAGAACTAAATAAATGTGGTTTCTTTTTTGTGATAATGATGTGATACATCACCCTTCATTTCTACCTAAGGTTTGAATCATATAATTGAGAGGGGTTTTTATAAGTTTGATTCTTTTAATAAAAAAATAACATTTACATTCTATTTGTATTTCTGCCCATATTGAATTCTTTCTTCATTTTGTGTGTATGTATATATTTATATGTTATATACTTATATGTATATATGGGTGCGCTGTCACCCAGGTTGGAGTACAGTAGTGTGAACATGGCTCACTGCAGCCTCCCGGGCTCAAGTAGTCTTCCCACATCAGCCTCTCAAATAACTGGGACTACAGGCACAGGTCCATGCCACCATACCCAGCTAAATTTTTAAATTTTTTAATAGAGATGGGTCTTGCCATGTTGCTCAGGCTGGTCTTGAACTCCTGGAAATAAGCCATCCTTCTCTTTCTGTCTCCCAAAGTGGTGGGATTACAGGCCTGAGCCATGGTGCCTGGCCTAGAAATTAATTATCATGGCCGGGCTTGGAGGCTCATTCCTGTAATCCCAGCACTTTGGGAGGCCGAGGTGGGTGGATCACCTGAGGTTAAGAGTTTGAGACTAGCCTGGCCAACATGGTGAAACCTCATCTCTACTAAAAATTAGTCAGGTATGGTGGTGAGTGCCTGTAATTTCAGCTACTCAGGAGGCTGAAGCATGAGAATCACTTAAACCCAGGAGGCAGAGGTTGCAGTGGACCAAGATCACAGCAGTGCACTTCAGCCTGGGTGACAGAGTGAGATTCCATCTCAAAAAAAGAAAGAAGGAAATACATTATCAGTTAATATATTGCTAACTTTTTACCATTATTGAAACAGATAAAATTATAACCACCAACTCAAGTATACAAGAAATATCCTAATTTGAACTCAGCCCTTCCTCATATTAGGCTGGTGAGAAATTCCTTCATAGTTATTAGATGGGTAGGGAAGGGACCTTCTTTTCTCAAGGCTTAAATGAGAATCCAGGCTTATGTATACCTAGAAAATTGGCCTTCACATCTTTAGTCCATCATCTTCTTCATTAGTCATATTTTCATTGCCTAAGATACACATGATCTTTTGGAGGCAGGCAGCTCTGCTGATTACACCAAGTTAGTGTTAGAAAATATTTGCTGACACCAAAAGCCCTGATGCCAAGGGACTAGCTTCCCTATATGCACCATCCATGGGGCCACATGTACAGGAGGCAGATTGTTCTCCATGAAAGGGCACTTGATTGAGAGAAAGACTGGAAGCTAAAATCCAGCCTGTACTTACTCCATTTCCCAAACTGAATTCTCTTAGGGCTGCATTAGCCTAGAAGAGTTGCCTTTTTCTAATTCACATATAGGAACTGTGTGGGCATAGAGTCACCTTCTCACCATTCCCCGTCCTCTGGGTTCCTGCCTAACCTCTTCATCTCTTCTCCTTTCCCCTAGGCTGGCGGGGGGGTGGGGGGGGTGGGGGAAGCTAACTGTAGATTTTGGGAACTTGATTACCTACTCTGTAAAAAAAATTATGCCTCTTTCTTCTTTGGCTTCTCTGTCTAAAAATACTAACATTTGACCCTTTCTTCACCTGGATACATCATATACTCTCTGTTTGCTTAGAGTTTCACACTAGAAAAGAAGGTGCCTTCAAGAGGCCTCTGCTCTGGACCCTGCAATTGTTCTTGAGACAGGAAATGCCTGACTATTCTCTTAAAATGTAGGTGAAGGAAGTGAGAGGAGAAAAATAGAGTGAAATGCAAATTCATATCTTGATAAATTTCAAGTGAAATGTTGAAAGCTTAATTTTTTAATTTTTAGCGTTTAAATTTTTAATTTTGAAATATGTTTACAATGCTTGTTGCACAAAATTTGCATAAAATATTTCCTTAGGAAATCACAGATAAAATCCATAGTAATTAAATGGAAACTGATGAGTTATTACCTCTTTCCCAGCATGATAGAAATTATGTAGCTGAAAGACTTGAAAGTTTGAAATTGCTTTCTTCATATCACTTATTAAAATATTATGGTTTGTTTTATGGATGGTTTGGCTCCATTTAATTTCTAGTTAAATTAATTGAATTTATATTTAGGTTAAGTTGTCAATATTAAATAGCATAATAATTTATAATAAATTTGTATTTAAAAATAAATTGGGCCAGGAACAAAATATGTTTTTTGGAGGAGCTTGAAGCCAGTAGCTTAAGACCAACCTAGGCAACATAGTCAGACTCCGTCACTGCAAAATATTTAAAAATTAGCCAGACATGGTGGTATATTCCTTTAGTCCTTGATACTTGGGAGGCTGAGATGGAAAGATTGAGTGAAGTTTGAGGTTATAGTGAGTTATGGTTGTGCCACTACTGTACTCCAGCCTAGGTGACAGAGTGAGAGAGACCCTGTCTCTTAACTAGGAGTAAGAAAAAAACAGAACTTGTGGAGAATATTTGTTTTCAGCAAATAAATTTTTTGTCAATTTGTTGAGTAACTTGAATAAAATAATAGATGTAGAAGATATGGACAAATAGACAAAATTATAATATTTTGGTGCTATGTATTAGAAAGATTGAAAACTTCATTTTTGTGGCAATTGCTGTGAAATGTCATTTGTTCATTCTGCTTTCTCAAATTAGTGTTGGTAAGAGTACTATTTTTGTATATTTTTACTATGCATTATGCATCTCTGATTTACGATAGAGGTGACCAATCTCCCAAATTTTAAAACTCTGAAGAAAAATAGCACTTAAAACTCAGGCATTAAAATTATTTTGTTTTGAATCTAGGAGAATTATAAAACAAGAGTATGGTGGGTATAACTGGCAAAAGAGGGACAATCAGTATCTTCTAATCATTATAGGATGTCAATGGGGGTGGTATGTCAATGGACAGCAGGTATTACTGAAATGAGAATAATTAGTATTTAATTAAGCAAATGTTGCTTTTGATTGTCAATGAACAAGGAAAGCATGTTTCTCCCTCTTTATTGTAAAACAAGGCCTGACAATAGTAACATTCATCTTCAATAGCACAAGTATTATGAAGTGAAAATAAGATATTTTGGTAAAATTTGTCAAAGTTGGAAATTAATTGAATACACACTTCAGCAAATTAATACTAGAAAATTTTAAAGTGATTTATTGGGATAAATCACAACATACAAAAATTCTCTTTGGATTAATTTTATTTATATAACAATTGCTATGTGGAGAGATAAATATCCTGTGTATATGAAAGGTAGAGTTATTCAGGAGAACCAGTTGTTTTCTCATTGTGAAAGTGCTAAAAGTTTGTATTTAGAGGTTTTTTCCTTTAAAAAAAAACACTTTGTATATATGTTAAAAACTTATATTTAAAATATTTAGCATTGTATATACTCTATAAGTAGAACCCAGGCTTATTTGATGACTAAGGACACAGGATTTCTAGTTAAACAAGTCCTGATCCAACTTCCATATTTATAATATATCAACTGTTAACCTTGAACAAAGTATTTTTTTTTGAGCCTTAGTTCATTTTTTAAGTAGAAATGATTGATACCTTACCTTGGAAAGTGTTTGTGAGGTTAAATGTAATATGGTTTATTAAGAGTTTATTCATTTATGGTATGAGAGTATGACTCATACCATACAATAAGCATTAGCTCAAACAAATTGGATATGGCTCTTTGCTGCAGAAAATAACACACATCTGTCTTTTCCCCTTTTATCAATTAGAATTATATGCTTTGTTTTTGAAGATGAGAATCTTAAAATTTTTGTGTGATTATAGTCTAATTGTATTTATAGCTGAGCTTTAAACAAGGTCTTTTTAAAAAAATTGTTCAGTTCTAATGCTTTTTAAGTCTAATGGTCAGGTGGTTGTCAGCCATTTGGAGGGAGAACAAGCTCATTTCTGCCCTGCTTAGTTAATTATTGTGATTGTAAACAAAGGATGTACAATTCAAAGTCAGACATTTCACATGGATGATGGAGGTGATAATAGCTTAATTCCTGCTGGATTTTTTTTCCCTGCTCTGGCAAGTTCGTACTGACCTTGTCCAAAATCTGATGACCTCCCTATTTTACTCAACTGTTTGGAAAGCTGGGCCTGCCATAGCTGGCCCTGAGGGGGTATCTGAAAGACCACTGAACCACTGACCCATGTCAAGACTGGATTTCAAGTCTGATCTTCAGAGCCTCTGAAATAGTTATATATGGGGTTTATTACACACAAAGGGCTAAACAACTGCATTTTTCTGCTTATTAAATGTTGTTATTAAAGTCACATATTGAATTTACTCACTTTCTCATGCAAGTCATTTTCTAGACCAATTACAAATTTTGATCTTTTGTCATAATTGGTATCTTTAAACTTGACCGTTTTGAAGCATGAGGAAAATGTACTGATAAACCGTGGCTAAAATGTAATAAATTATCTTTCTGGTTTATGAAGAGACCAAGGCAGTGGCATTTTAATGCTTATAAAGATTTTGGGGTTTTCTGGCAAAAATTCCATATACCTCATAAAAAATCTAGTTAAGTTGTCATTATTGTTACAGCATGGTAATTTCTGTTTATATCTTGTCAAACCTTAGTTATTACTCAAATATTTCTATTTAAGAGTTTTGAAGTTATGAGACATGTCATGCAGGAAAGCCTATGAGATGTATTTATACCAGTAAGATGTTATTTAAATTGGGTTGGATAGGATCTGTCTGCCTTATGAGAAACTGTGACAGGGCTACGATATTCAAAGAAAAAAAAGTTTCACTGTGTTTATTTTATTCTTCTGAACAATGGAAAATGATCAGGTCCTTCTTTTGAATATCTAGTCGGTATCCTACCATTTATATCACGTTGTCTTTTATTTTTATATAGGAGTTGATCCCTGAATTTTATTATCTCCCTGAGATGTTTGTCAACTTCAATAATTATAATCTTGGAGTGATGGATGATGGGACAGTAGTGTCTGATGTCGAACTTCCTCCTTGGGCCAAAACCTCAGAAGAATTTGTTCACATAAACAGATTGGTAAGATAGTAATCATCTACTCTGTCTGTCATGAGCCTTTGCTCAAAGCATCTTTCATGTGTTGGTGTATAATCATTAACCCTTGCTCTTCTGGACAAACTTATAGATGATAGACTAACTGAAAGTGACAT